CCAGTTGGATAATATACCCTTATTAGTATTGAGTGCTTAGTCTATTAATTGTGACAACTCATAGAATGTACTGAAACAGACTGTGTCTGCCATGGGGATTGATCCCGATAAAGTATTCTTTATTATTTGCTATATTCTTGACCTTTATACACTGATTAAATATATCAGTACAAGACATAATTAATAGACTAAGCATTCAATATGTAAGCAATAGGGGTTTACTGTCTAGCCCATTCCCGGCCTCCTCATTTTCTTTTTATTTAAATTTTGGCTGAATAGTTGTAATCTGTGAGACAATGTGTGTGTGTGTACAGCATGTGTACAGTGTGTTTAGTGTGTGTTTCGGGGGTTAATGTTTAGTGATAGTGTTGTGAGTTAGGGTAATGTAGGGGTTAATGTGTAATGCAGGTTTGCCAACCATCCTGATTTTGGCTGGACAGTCCTGATTTTTTTTCGGGTCCTGTTTCGCCCCGACTTAAATGCTTTATCTCTTGCTTTTGGGGACTTAGTTGCCTAATCTCTCGCTTTTGGGGAGACAAGGGGACTGTCCCCAAGAACCATAGTGTAAGCACGTCAGTGGAGGCACTGGCACTTTGTTCAGGGCATTAGGACTCTGCAGGGAGCAGTGACACTGCCTTTCATGATTGGCAGGCAGCCTGGCGTAATGTTTAGGGTAGTGTGTTCCGGTAGAGTGGGTGTAAAGGGGATAGCTTTACTGTAAGGTTACTGTAAGGTATGGGACATAAATACCCCAATGCTGCATGAGATTAGTGGTAGTTACAGTCCTGGGGTACAGCTGCTGTCATTAAAAGACTGACATGTATGTCGCAATGTGCCAGAGGTCAGTTCCCCCAGATTGCATGGAATCAATCTTTATGTTATTACCCATTCGTTACAGGAAATAATAGCACGGATGAGGTCACCGTCCATACAATATGGGATTCTAAAGCAAGATCTACCCCTTCAATATTTATATATATTAAATCAGTGCACTGAAATTGTTAAAACCTCCAACTCGAGCTGCTGTCCTTATATACCATATCACTGGTGCAACAACAGTCTATAAACTGCTGTACATTGTTATATGACCAGAAATTGCAAAATCTATGTTAAAATTGCTGATTCAGAATATTCTCAATCGCTACCAAAGAGAATTATCAGTTTAAAACTGCTGCATTCAGACTTTTTTCCTTCGATAATGTGTTGAATACAGATAGACTGAAACAAGTCATTTAGCTCAAGTGATAGATTGCGTAATTCATATCAGTTTATAGACTTACTCCTCCTGAGATATGCTATTTGAGCAAAGTAGCTACAGTTATCTTTTCAAATCACTTGGAAACAATTTGATACAATAAAACAGATAAAGAAAAAAATATATATTTTTAAAGCGAAATTAGCATCATATCTACAAATATATACATTAACCTACAAAATATACATTGTCTCTTTAACACATATCTATTATTATGTGCGTTTTATGCCCTAGATTTGTAATATAATTTCATTAGTTTATTTTTTTTTATTTTTTTATTGCGCATAATGATTTGCAGAGTTTTTTTTTTCTGTTTCATTTTGAAAGCCATTCTTGTTTCAGTGTGATTATTTTAACCCCTTAAGGAGAAAATTCTTTACATTGTGATAATTGCTGTCATTAGAAGCCGCTCCCCAAAGACCTTATATCAGCAGGGAATATGATTTAGCATTGTCTGCCCTATACAAAGCTGTCTATAACTGTCAGTAATTGAATGGGTTTCTATGCTATGACATTAGATTGTTATGACTCCGTAGACTTCCATTGGTCCTTCAGGAGTTAAATAATAGAAAATAGCTAAATATTTTTTAAACCGTTAAATATTGTAGCATTTCCTATCAAAATGCAAGTATTCAACATAGTCACCAACTATTTCAGAAGCAAATGTAACAAGATAACGTTTGGAATGTCATAGAAATAATGAAACCGTAGTGGGCTGTGTATTATGTTTGTGTAAGTATATTTATCTAGAAAACGTTCACACAAAAAAATAAAATATAAACAACAAAAAACGTGACGGAGTAGAATCTGACGGCATGGAAGTTTACAGCTTAATTGATCAAATATAAACATATAAATTATACATTTTTATTTGTTGGTTTATGGTGTAATAGAAAATAAGTTTTGAATAAAGTAGATTTATTGGTTAAAGGACCACTATAGGCACTCAGACCATTTCAGCTCAATGAAGTGGTCTGGGTGCCAGGTCCCTCTAGTTTTAACCCTGCAGCTGAAAACATAGCATTTTCAGACAAACTGCTATGTTTCACTGAGGGTCAATCCAGCCTCTAGTGGCTGTCTCACTGACAGCCGCTAGAGGCGCTTCCGCGATGGACGTCCATAGGAAAGCATTGAGTAATGCTTTCATATGGGGTGTTTTGAATGCGCGCACGGCTCTTGCCACGCATGCGCATTTGGCGCTGACGTTGGCAGGGGGTGAAGAGTTCCCGAGCACAGAGGGAGCCCGGCCCTGGAGAAAGGTAAGGGGCTGAAGGGGTTTTAACCCCTTCAGCCTAGCGGGAGGGTGGTCCTGGTGGTGTGGGGGACCTAATGACCTAAAAACGAGTTTGTTTTCCTGGCACTATAGTACTCCTTTAATAATGTTAATTTCCTCTATAATATTTACCTCATTGAGTGTATCAAAGTCAGTAGTATGGTTATTACAAATGATTCAGAGTTATTTTGAGATACCTTTTGTCGTTTTTCTTGTAAAATTCTGTATACTGGATTCCAAATAATATCTGGCGGTATCTAAGTACTTATGTTACCTAAATATGGGACTTGCAATCAAAGTTCTCTATTCCATATGTATTGGAATAGATATAAATATACAAAACTTAAAATGTACACCACTATAGAATACACAGCAGCTTAATTAGAAAAAAATGTTATTATGGTAATATAAAAGGGACATCCACTGCAAAAATACAAATCACTGCCTAGTTCCAGTAGATACACCCTATATAAAAACATACATGTATTTAATTATAAATGTTTTCATTGGTGGTAAGAAACAGTTTGCCAAAGCTGCAGATCTCGTCTTTCAAGCCCTCCCCTTCTAGCCCCACCCAGCCTTTCTGTGGCTGTCCAATCACAGACTCCCAATGCAGAAGTCTCAATGAGAAGTCTTTGTAAGGCAGGTGCTCTGAGCAATTGCTGCCTCTTGAGTTTAGCTTTACTGAGCTAACCAAACCAGGAATTAACAGGACTGGTTATCTGATTGACAGTCTGGGGGAGAGGAGGGGGTGTAAGGTTAATTTATAAAAGTGACAATTCCTACTGAAATTGGCACTTTTTATAAAATGAAAAAAAGAGAACACACTCTTTACACTTATAGAAATCCAACAAGCCAAGTGCTTCCTGAGTACCCCTTTAATATGTCTGGCTGTGGAATGATGTGTGTAAAGGGCTAAATATGATGTGGTGAAACCAAAACACAAGTTATTTAGTATTATTAATCAATCTCTAACAGGTCCCCCAATGCTGTATAATATAACTTATTATTTATCGATCTCTAACAGGCCCCCCAATGCTGTATAATATAACTTATTATTTATCCATCTCTAACAGGCCCCCCAATGCTGTACAATATAAATTATTATTTATCGATCTCTAACAGGTCCACCAATGCTGTATAATATAAATTATTTATCGATCTCTAACAGGTCCCCCAATGCTGTACAATATAAATTATTATTTATCGATCTCTAACAGGTCCACCAATGCTGTATAATATAAATTATTATTTATCGATCTCTAACAGGTCCCCCAATGCTGTACAATATAAATTATTATTTATCGATTTCTAACAGGCCCCCCCCCAATGCTGTACAATATAAATTATTATTTATAGATCTCTAACAGGTCCCCCAATGCTGTATAATATAAATTATTAATCAATCTCTAACAGGTCCCCCAATGCTGTACAATATAAATTATTATTTATCGATCTCTAACAGGTCCACCAATGCTGTATAATATAAATTATTATTTATCGATCTCTAACAGGTCCACCAATGCTGTATAATATAAATTATTATTTATCGATTTCTAACAGGCCCCCCCCCCCAATGCTGTACAATATAAATTATTATTTATAGATCTCTAACAGGTCCCCCAATGCTGTATAATATAAATTATTATTAATCAATCTCTAACAGGTCCCCCAATGCTGTATAATATAAATTATTATTAATCAATCTCTAACAGGTCCCCCAATGCTGTATAATATAAATTATTTATCGATCTCTAACAGGCCCCCCCCCAATGCTGTACAATATAACTTATTATTTATCGATCTCTAACAGGCCCCCCAATGCTGTATA